GGAACCCGTGACTCCTTTCCAAGGAATGCTTGCCGGTTCCGTGAGGTGGGGAAAGGGACTTGTGGGAAGGAGGGTGTGTTAATTTAGGTGATGGTAGCCATAGCAGTAGAAAAAAACACTGACATCTCAGCAGCTCAACACAATAGACTTTTTTTTGCATTTGCCTTTCTTTATTTTTTTATTTAAAATTTTTTCTGATTTTTATTCAGTTCTTAAAGGTTATTTCCCAGTTACAGTTATTACAAAATATTGACTATGTTCTCTGTGTGGTACAGCACATCACGTATCTTACACTCAGTGGTTTGTGCCTCTCCCTCCCCCGCCCGTTTTGCCCCTCCCACTCCCACTGTAACCACTAGTTTGTTTTCTATATCTGTGAGTCTGCTAGTTTTTTGTTATATTCACTGGTTTATCATATTTTTTTAGATTCCACATATAAGTGATGTCATACAGTATTTGTCTTTCTCTGATTTATTTCACTTAGCATCATGCCCTCCAAGTTCACCCCTGTTGCTGCAAATGGCAAATTTTTGTTCTTTTTTATAGCTGAGTAGTATTCCATTGTATATCATGTCAGCACCTTAACACAATAGAAGTTTCTTTCTTACTTCAGCCGTAGACTGATCAGCAAGGCAGGGGGTGGGTTCTGCTCCACGCTGTCATGCAGGAATCGAGGCTGCCAGAGGGTCTGTTCTCCCTAGCATGGCTTCCACAGTCACCCTGGGGACTCGCCTTCAGCTGGCAGATGGAGCAAGAGAGAGAGTGCAGGATGACAAGTGGGAGGGTCAGATGGCATGCATCACTTCCCCCTTTAGGCCACGTGACTTTAGGCCAAGTGGAATTGTGGAGGCACCAAGAGATGTCGCGTAGCTGGCGGCCTCAGAGGAAGTGGGTAGGGACCCAGGAACGGCTGTTCTCTTTGCCACAAAAAGATGAGACTCTTCATGCATTTTCCTGATTATTCCCCCCCCTTATTTTTCTAGTTTCAAATAGAGCCATGTCCTTTTCTCCTGTGGCTTATTGTTTTTTCCAGTTTAGTCCCCAAAGATCTCCCTGCCCACTCCAGCCCGCTACACTTCTTTCTGGTTCGATTTTGTAGCCCGGCGGAGAGAGCCCCGCGCCGCGGAGTTCAGCGTGGTGCAATTATCCCGGGGGTCCACTGAGGGCTCTTTTAAATCAGGTTCCCTGGGACTCGAGGAAAAACCTGCAGTGGAAACCTTGGAGATGGGGGGCTTCCACACACTGATTAGGACTCTGGAACAATGGGAGAGGTGTAAAACCTGCCCTCCAGGATCCGGGGAA